CCTCCCGCATACCCCTGAGGACACAGCGAGTCCTCACAGCTGACCCTCAACTAGTTCAACTCACTCTGTAGAAGATCTGCCCCCTCGCCTCCCCGTGTATCGCTACGCATTCCGCCAGAGTCATGCCGCTGCCCATGCTCTCCTCCTCGACGGCACTCCGACTGCCCAAAGCCGTCAGTAGTGCCCCGACGTGCCCTTCTAGGAAGCAGCTCATTAGACCCACGATAAGCCTAGTACTGTCCAGAGAAGGCCCCGACTTGTGAACCCAACAACACAGACCAGCAACAAGATACCGTACCATGCTCAACCATAAAAGCTGGGTATGCAGTCCTGGGAGTTGAGAGCTCTCGCCGAGCTCAAGCCCCGCTGTCTCCGCTTGAAAGTCGACTTGGTGGCCCGACATAGCCTCTCAAAGTCTTCCTCCCTCTGAGGGTCTGCGTACGGGATGGGTGGAAAAACAAACAATTCGCGGAGACCTGCAGTTTCCAAGTTGTGGACTGGGCTATCATCAGTACGACAGATCTCTCGCTCGGCGGTGAGGATGTCGCCAACCTGACCCCACTAGATAGGATTGGAAGATGTAATCGACTTACAGTCGAGCCCTTGAGGTCCTCATAGTTCTTGCTAACTCTCAATCCACTGCCCCGTGGGGGGTCTACATGGCCATCCAGTGCGAGGTCGCCAAAGGGAACGGGTCCACCTTTCTGACTGGGTACGAGGCCAATGCCCAGGTGATTGTCACCACTCTTCCCTTGCGGCCTCGGAGCCCTCCGACTACCACAGACGGCTGAGTCATCGAGAGGAAGTAACTGTGCAGCGAAGACTCCTCAGCACCTGGCGCTGGGTGTCTCACGAAAGGGTTAACTGTTCTCGATGTCCTTGGCTGAAGCATTCTGGCTGTAGCCCGAGGACCAACCCGCTGCTGGTCGGACGTTTTCACGCCTTCTCCTGAATATGCTGCGAGGTGGTTCACCCGAAGGAAGGGTGTCTTACCAGTGATGGGGTTTCTCAGGTGGTGACCATGTGGGGACTCCTCGAGGTTTCCATCGGCGCCGTGCTGCAACCTCCTCCCAGGTCGGAAATCAGCACCGTAGCTGTTAACAACAGTGTGAGAAGGCACGGTCGGGCGACACCGACCTATGAGGTTTCGTCTCCGGCTTGTCGTGGTAGTAGCGTAGAGGATCTCGGTCTCTTGTAGCACGACTGGGGCTCCGGAAATCTGCGAGAGGCAGCACAAACAAAGCGAAAGATCTCCACCCAAGCTGAGTAAGGAGCTCACTGCACGAATCATCAAGGGAATGATATGGGCTGAGGCCCCAGCGATTCCTCGCCGCTCCACAGCTCTACGTAACCCCCGGTCACGATGTGACCATTGCGTCGACTGGCTCGTTGAGCTCGCATGATACCCCTGAATATGGCCAGGCACCAGCGCTTAGATGAGCGCCATTACTGGGACGTGTTTCCTCA